ATGAGAAGATAATCTTAATTTGAAGAACGAAGCTATGAGAGAGAAAAAAAAAAAGAAAAAAAAAGGCAAGCGCATTCAAGGCTTCTTTGAAACATTTGAAACACTTTAATGAAAACGCTCCGAAAAACAGCGTATTGAATTTTAGCCGATAGACTCGAAAACGCTAAATGTGTAAGATGTTTACCAAACGATATTTTTAGCTGATGAAAATGGTCAACTGAGCTAAGTGTTGAAAACGATATTTTTTAGGCAAAAAAACTGTTAACCAAACGAGGCTTATACCTACCCAACATGGACCGAAGTGAAATGTATCAGTTTTGTCTACAAAATTAAAACATCAACTGCTTCTGATTCCCTCTAATTTAAGAACTTACTAACATTTTAATTTTGTAAGTAAGCTCTTAAAATCAAATTTTATCTTTTAAATACTATTCATTAATTATAACTTGTATAACAATACTAATATTCAACAAATATGTCATATATTAGACTACCTAGCCATTAAACAAACATACTTTTTTACCAAATTTACATACTTTTATTAGAAAAATATTATACTTTAAGAAAAACAATATAAACAAAAGTGATTAATTGTGCAACTACAAATATTTGTTTGTATAATAATATATAATATAACAGATTGACTCATCTAAACGATAGGTTGTTCGACTCATTTACTTGCTAAACTGTAAATAAATATAAATAAAAAATAAATAATAATGCTCTCTCATCTACGGTCAGCACATGATAATATGTTCACAGTTTATATGGTATACACACAGTGGCGGAGCCACACCTTGTGGCTGGGGTCAGCTGACCCCTATAGATTTCAAAATTTTTAGTATAAAATACTGTTCAAACACTGTTTACTAGGTTAATGACCCCGCTAAAAAATATTGCCGACCCCAGTGAAATTTGAGGCTGGCTTCGCCCCTGTATACACACATTGGTAATGCTAATATATTCGAACAAATATATCACCAATGATTGAATAGATAAACATATTAACATGTATCTACTGTGGATATGTGAACATTACTGAATAATAAATAATAAATTTCATAATAATAGGCCAAATGGCCTATATGAGAAATTCAAACGTACTGCTAACAAAGGTAAAGGTTCAACTCATCGCGCTTCCTTTTCTTGTCTAATAATAGTTGTATCCAATTGGATTTTTTAGGGTTTTTACTGTTCCACTAATTTCCCAATTTTGTAGTTTCTCCTTGGCAATTCATCAGTATTTCGTACGAATTCATCAGCTCAGAAGTCAGATAAAGAGCTCAATATATGGCTCAATCCAGCAACAGTGTAAGCACAACTCGCTGCATTATATCTATGTTAGTTATGTCGCCTGGTTTTGGCGAGCTGTAACGATTTGATTTTCGCTGCTGCTTCTATGTACAGGCTGCTGGAGTTGACAACACTTTTCGAAGAAAATTCGACCGAGAAGAATATCTGCAACGCGCTCGGGATCGCGAATCGAGGGTCTGATTACGATACTTCTTAATTGCATTGTGCTTCTAGTGTTATTCATCTGCTATTAGATTTTATTTTATGTTTTATTTATGCGTTTTCCTGATTCTGGTTGTTTATTTATTTTGATATACTCTGTTGTAGGAGGCAGAGGTTCGGACAAAATCGAAATGTAAGACATTTGATTTAATTGTTCGATATTAAATTCATTTCGTGCTGTTTGTTAGCCGAATTTTGGACATTGGACTTTGGATTGTTGGGTTGAGTGGGTTTGTAATGTCTTGTGCAGCAATTGGGCCGCCAGTGCAGAGGAAACCATTGAAGCACAGGGATTATGAAGTGGACCTTGAATCACGCTTGGGAAAGACTCAGGTTAGCTTTATTTTCAGTGATCCAGAAGTATAGTGTTGTTTGAAGTCCTTGTTTATGTGGTTTAGATACACTTCCTGTGTGGTACTACACCACTGCCGAACTATGTGCTAGTTCTTAATGTAGGATTTATGATCCGTTAATTATCCATTTGATTCTTGTGTTGGGATTTAAGATCGTGGGTATTAAAAAGTTCTAACATGATATATTGAGACTTGTTTATTTGATAGGATGTAATAGTATTTTAGTTTGATAGTCTTGAGAGTTCATCCTTTGAGCTGAAATGTCGGACCTAGATAAAGATGCTTTGCTTACATAATCATTGATTGTTATAGCATGATTTGGTACTTCTTTAATCTTGATTGGTTCCTTCAAAATTATATGTGATTAGTCTTTAATTTTGGTCAGGATGCTGACACCACAGTCTACTGAGTGTTGTTTGTGTGAAAATGGACTTGAATGCACAGGGTGTTATCAACCATGAACGGATAGCTCGTTACATTTCTCATTTATTCTTTTATGTATATGACTTTTGGTCTTCTTTTTTATCTTACTCAAGTATATCTTAGAACATATCTTTTCTGGAAGGTACTTGGTTATCAATTTTTAATTGAGAGTATGTTTATTTCTAGTATCCATTTAATTGTGGCCTCTTCTGTTTAAACTTTTTACGAGCACATACATTTTCCATCTCCAATTTCCTTTTTAAATGTTTTTCTTTTCAGTGACTCATATGATCCATTTATTTATTCTGTAGGTTGTGACTCCAATAGCGCCCCTAAGTCAGCAGGTATTTGCCTAAACAACCATTTTTACTGTTTTCAAATATTTATGATTATTATAAATAACATCGGTATTTTTACATAGTATGACTTTGACATTTGAATTGCAAATAGTCGTAATGACTAATGTGATTTTAGGTTTCACTAGTAACATAGAAGTGACCACAACTTCAGTTGATCCTCACTTTGCTACATAGTTGTAATTGTAAGTGCTTACGAACTTAGTGTATGAAATGATGCAATGAGCTGCCGAGAATCACCTTTTAGGAGGAGGAACTGCTTGTGAATTCGGAACACTTTATTTGTGAAACTATGGAATATGCAGTAAGAGTCATCTTTAGTATAAACAACGGGCCAGTTTCTATATTCTTTGGTTGTTATGAGCTTGATCTGTTTGCACATATTATTGATATGTAGATTGGTACAATAGCAAGGCTTGCTGAAATAGGAGGGGTTAAGTTTGTCCAATGCTATGCTGGAGTTTGTTTATAGGCCAGGGCAGAAGTATACGATAATATTTATTTAATACTAACTTTCACCTAAAACGGTTCAACTCGGTCATATATTTTACTGACCATTTTGTGTAACCTTTTCCAAGCTAGGCCTTTTCTTTTCTTTTTTAATAATAAATGGAATTTACAATGCAATATTCATTTAACATTTGCATGCATTTTTCTGTTCGATGTAACTGCCAAACGACCTTCTCAATTTGAATTTTGAGATTATATGGAAGCAATGCTTCTCATTAACTAGGTGCTTCTAGTTTATTTGGTCATCATATGGAAGTGAAAGCAGGACAGGTGACTAATAGTGGAGCTCCAACATAAGCTAGGCATCAATACTATCATCTTGATTTAATGTAGGATAAGGGCGTATGATGATAGAAGATCTACTCTCCCCTGTGTTGTATCTCTGCTATTTGCTGAAGGACATCTATTAGAATTCTGACTATTCCTTTTAAATTAAACTCTAATGATTGGAATCAAGACCCAGAAATTCAGCTTTGGGCCGTGGCTGACATTGCCTCAGAAGCTCTGGAACAGAACTCATCTATGCCTTTCATCTTGGTGCTTAGCCTGCCTTTGACTCTTCCAGACTTATTTTTTCTCTTTGACGTTTGTAAAAGTTGGTAGTGGTTTTGAAAATCTTTAGAAGCTTCAGCTCATCAGTTTAGAATTTGGAAAAGGGAAGTCAAACTCCTGCTTAGAAAACTCTCGGATGCTTTAGATGCTTCCTAAGAGCAGTGTCCTTGGCCCTCCGGCTTTTGGACTAACGAGTCGTGTTCAGTCTGGGGAACACCTTTTTTAGCTAATACTTATCCTTCATTTGTACTCTAGTCAGCCTTTCTGGAGCCCTCTGACGAATTGAATTTGCTAGTAGCATACAAAAGAAAGACATAATACAAGGGATTAGGCCAAGAAACATAGTTCTCGAGAGACTGTGTTGACTGTTAGTAACTGTTAGCTCTTTAGTTGGCATTTTTATCTCCTGTGAATTATTTATCGAACCGAAAGCATTTATTAATTATCTTGACTATGGCAATGTTTTCAAGTCATTACGTGGTTTTATGTTTGAATGAATGCTAAAATTGAATCTTTTATGTGTTTGTGTTTTATTTTCTTGTCATGTCTAATATGCTTTGGAAACTGGGTTACAAATTAGAATATAATTATATAAGCCTTTTGGTGGTCTAAAGAGCAGATTTTTTTTCTCTCTTTAATTTATACCCTTGTATTTGGAAAAAAAAAATATTTCCTACTTACACTTTGATTCGTTGATTCCATAATTCATTTTCTGTTTTAGCTACAAAATACAAGATCCTAGAAGAATCGTTGATTCTGATCTCGGAGTTGTTAGTTGAATTGTTTTACAATAATATAGCATTTTAATACTCTTTTAGTAACCACTCCCTTTTTAATGATGCAAATAATATTGGACTCCATTGTACTGCAGGCTGGATACTATTGCTCAGTTTGCGAATGCGTAGTGA